AATTAATATTTATTAAATAATAATACAATTTTTATTTTTTTAAAAAATTTTTCCAAAAAATTTTGGGTACCACTGTATATACTACAAGTTATTTTGAGATTTTAATATAATTTTCTAAATTAATATTTAAATTAAATTTTGTTAATAAACATGAATAATATAATAAAAAAATTTTTTAAACAAATTATTTTGAATTTTTTTTTATTTTTAAATTAAAACCTATAATTTGATTATAATATAATATTTTTATATTTTTATATTAGTTTTTTAAAGTTTTTTGAAAATTTACTTTTTAATAATTATTATTATATTAAAAAAAAAGATTAGATAAAATGAAAAATATAAAAAATTTTGTTATAAAAATCAAAATATAGACAGTAATTGAAAAATAATATTTTTTATTATAAAAAATTATTGATAAAACTTTAAATTTATACATATATATAACTACAGTATATATTTCTTTATTTTAAAGTATATACTGTAAATCTATATTTACGTAATTGATTTATATTGTATATTGAAATAATTTTAATTATTGTTATTTTGCAATTAATGTAAAATTAGATTTTTTGAATGGCTTTTTTTTTTATTTTTATTCTTTCTATATTAACTAGAAATATTTATACTATATATTTGTCTTATCTTATTAATTAATCATCTAATTAAGAATAAAACAAAAATTTAATTTTTTCAATTTTTTTAGATCAGACCGTAAATTAATACAAGTAAAATAATTATTTTATTTATTATATAATATTCTACTTATAGGTATTCATCAAATATTTTGTGATGTTATAGGATAGCCACTTTCTTACAAATATTACGAAGAAATCATAAACGTTTCGCTTCCCTTCTTTCACAAACGTACATACATATGCTTCACTTAACGTGCAATAATACTAAATTATTAATTAAATTGTCGGCAAGACACGATTAAAGTGATGTGATGCTGAATATAATGATCTGTGGAATCAAATACAGTATATTGCTTTATTAATAAAACTTGGGGCTCATTAGGAATGGCCTTGTCCTTGTTACGTGACTATCAGGTAACTTTAGGAATTTTATTTTCAGGGTGAAACATATTTCAATCAACAGAAAGATTCCTAGTGGTTATCATCTTACTGTCAAAACCGTCAACAGATCGAGACCCGCTGCGCATTTTTGAACCATTCATTAATTTAATTACAAATCATGTAAAACAAGCATACTGTAAATAAATCTTTTTATCCAGCATTTATCAGATAATTTTACGCAGGTCATCCGATTCCATCCATTCGATCTTAGACAAATTTTCATTTAAGTTAAACAAGCGATGAACATTCAAAATTCTTAATTTTCAATAATTGTGGTAAACTAATTTGATAAATGAATATTGTTCAAAAGAAAAACAAGAACAAAATATTATTGCCTCATGTATATTTGATTTTTTTAAAAAAAAATGCGTAAGCATTTATGATACTTTAACTCGATTAGTGATAATTCACAAGATTAACCATATTTTGCAAAATCATGTATTCATTTTTTATTTCATCCCGGTTATCAACAATGACAAAATTGGTTTATGATTACGAATACTGTGCATCTAATTACTGTAATTGCCTACGTAATTTCTTAAGCTCGCAAATTCGATTTAGTTAAAACCAGTCATTATTTATGGCCATGTGGCAATTCGATCGATCTTTCATTAGATCAAACATTAATATGGTTCGTGCGCCACAGTGGCTGGTAACCTTACCACTAAAGTTTGCAATTTACTGCACTAAATATGGTAAATCGTGTTCTAGATGTTTCTTCTTTCTTTAAGTTTTCATTAATCGAACAAGAAGTCCACTTCGAACTATTCTCGTTCGCGACGAAAGATTTTATAAAGGAAAGATTACATTTTGCCCTTTGATAAATATTAGGATTTAATAATGTAAATCGTTCTGATCTGTGATCTCCCAAAGTCAATTCTTTGCTCAGCCACACACCAATCTGTAAACGTTTTCCGGATGATCCGTATTATATTAGAATGCATGCATCGAGTACTCATTTCCAATCAAAGCGGTTAATTAAAAAAATATCTGCTAAATATTCCGTACCCCCTCTATATAAATAAGAGGCCTTTATTCGATCTTTCCACGACCCAAGAAGTTTTGACAGTCTACTTTCGCAATGTCGAAAGAAATGGTTGTTCGTGATCAGCAGAATTGCAAAGTTGAATTACCCTTTCCTCCGCCGATTACCGTCGATGAAATAATTGAAAAGCATTTAAAAAATGGTGTTGAAAATGTTAACAAAACATCAAACGCTTTTCTTATTTATCGAATGGTATATAATAACGAAGCCAAAGAACTTGGTTTGCCTTTAGAGGACATATCAAAGTTATCGGGTAATTCTTGGAAAAACGAACCGGAACATATTAAAACATGTTATAAGGAAATAGCATCTGCTGTTAAATCAAGATTTAAAATTAAGTCTCCTTTATGTTTTATCAATATCCAAAAGTCACAATTGGACGATGAAAACAAAAGATTCGATGAGGAAGGACCCAAAATCGCTGATAATACTGCAGTTAGTGATAACCAGGTTTCACCAGTCATGCCTCCGGTCAACGAACAAGAATTTGTAAATTCACTCCCTTCAGAACTAGCAATGACTTATTTGGAGCTTTCGCAGTCTATAGATGCTGAAATGCAAGGTATTTGGACAGGCACCGATTAATATCACGTGACACCGTCTCATTTATCCGAGTTTCAAGTTTATTATTATTATTATTATTATTATTATTATTATTTGATGTCTTCTTTACGATCTGAATAATAAACATACTCTATTTATGACATATTGAAGCACACACAGTGTGTGACATGTTATTATATTAGAGTTTTTCATTATTATATTATCACCAGTAAAATAAGTTAATTAATAGAAAATAAATTATTTGCAATAATCCATTAAATTAAATGTTAATAAAAGTTATTCCTAAACCAAGTTTGAAGCGCGTAATTTTTTTATACTGCGTTTTTTTGAAATAAGATCTAAAGTATCATATGCTGTGTGGAATAGACAAATAGACATTATTTATGCATACAGATTTGTAAGTACAAGTTTTAGATAAAAACACTTTAGCAATAAAATTTAATTCTCAGTATAGAAAGGGCATTTGGTGTCCTATTGACATTATTAAGTCATTTTCCAAATCTTTTTTAATTGTTTTGTTAATAAAAAAATTCAAGGCAGCAAACCGTAAAAAGTAAAAAGGATCTACATTGTATAAAATGTAACTTGTTCATTAAAATCCGAATATGTATTTTAAAAAATATACTGTATATACTGTATATGCCGATGTGACTTTTTTCCCCCAAAACCTATCGAAGAACCCATTGATTTCCTTATTTGATTTTAATATGAACGAGAAAATAGTATTTTTTCATTTTCATTATTTATGAAGTCATTAGTACGGATTAATTTCTTTTCACCATCGATGAGATGATTTAATGTCGGTAAGATACACCGGCAACGCCGAAATTCTAGAAAATAACATCGGATATCAAATCAAAGACTAGATATTAAAGTTTCCAAACTGTTTTATTTATACTCGACATTGGAAAAATGCACATAGTTACCGACATCACTCTGACAGCCACAGTTGTACTTTCTTATCTTCGGATAATGCACAAGACGGACGATTGACTATTCCTTTTATTATTATTATTTTATTGACTTATAAATCTTCCTCCATATGACCTGACGATATCTTTTTGGAAATTTGAATTGTGATTTGCTCATATTTTTAGATCTCGATTATTATTTTGTCATTTATGAAAACATCAGCGTACACATGCTATTAATATATGAGATTTCTTTTATTCTTTCGATAAGTAAGAAGAAACGATTGGGTTCGACTTCAATTACAGGTGACCAATACATGAAAGCAACCAATATTTAGGAGAAAACATTGTATAATGAACAGCCCGTATGCCATATAAAGCATTCTTACATAATGCCGGGCTAACCTTTCTGGTTCTTGATGAGAACACTGTTGAAAGGTAGTTAGTACCTGTAAAAATATCTAAGCCGATTAGAAATCTGGTATATGAAATTGCTATCGTCTCCTTTTGTTTCCCAGTTATCCATGGAATATATCGTAAAGAGAAATACCAATGGCAATACAAATAATAGATTTCTTCTTTTATGTATCTCGCTTTGTAAACGCTCTTACTTTGGATATTATGTTTCGCCCGATAAGGCTATCCGTGTGCATGCGCATGCATACATATACTACGGAAGTTTTCCTTTCTATAATTTAGGGAGGACAATATCATATATTGTTTATCAAGACTTTTTAACTTTTATGCAGAATTATTTATGTATTTCCTATTCCGGAATCTTTTTTGTGGACGGTTAGAAACTTACCTTAGAATCAATGGACGGTTTACTTCCGACTCCAAGGGATATCTACCGACTTTATTATCGGGCTGGGTCCGGCTTCCGGGGAATTTTTCATTAGAACAAAATGATGACGTACCCATTATCAAAGAAATCGGTTTGGAAATTACTGTCACGAAACAATATCTTTGTCGGTTTATTTTATCCTACTCCCGAACGCTTCATAGCCTAAATCTTAAATGTCCACCAATTAAAAACAAAACCTTACAATGTATATACAGTATTAATTAAAATAATATGATATTAAAAAAAGCACGATTAGTAATAGATACTATTTATTACTATTTGATTTTTATTGTTATCGTAATGCAATATAAAATATTTGTTTTTGAAAAATTGTTTTGCTTTTTTTACTTTTTAATTAATTTTTATATTGATATATTATTAATTAATTTTAATTAGAAAGTCATAATACAATAAGATTACGATTATTATTTTATTATTATTTTTTTTTGTTAATAAACATTATTTCTTTATTTGATTTATATATATCAAGATATCTATTGTAAAAAAAATAACATCTCTCATATGTTGATACAATAAATTAAATACTAGCTTACTTGTAATAATCATATAACTAATATTAAAAAATTTTTAAAAACAATATATCCTGTCAAATAACACTAAGCAGTCATAAATATCTATTTAATATTGAAGAAATAAATTTTGATAATGATAATATTAAATTATAAATATATTTGAAATAAATACTGTATATTTATATTAAATAAAAGAGTTAATAACTATAGAAAATAAATTGATAATAGTTTTTTTTGGCAAAGTATTAATAAATAAGATTTTGACTAGTAAAATAATATTTTCTTTTATTTAATCAAACTAGATAATTTGCTAAAATTTTATTTGATTTCAATAGATAGTAAAATATTGATTATATTACAATATAATTTTTAAATTATATTAGTTATTTGAGTTAAAGATTCTATTATTGCCTTAATCCAATTAGTAAAATCTAATATGAAAAAATTTTATCTATTATATATATAACAATTGTATAATTTGTCATATATAAAAGATTGATTTTGTAATTATTATTTAGGTAAAGATCAATTAATATTTTTTATAATTTAATTAGCTTCTTCAAAGATTTTAAAGTATTTAAAAACATATTAAATATCTTTAATACAAAACTTGTATCTTAAACAATAAATATTTTGATATTAATCAAGATAAAATTAATTCAATACTTGATAAACAGAAAAAATTTCTAATAATAACTTAATTATAAATACTATTAAAATATTGTATTTATTGCTATATATATATATTATATTTTTATTAAATTAATTAATAATTTTAAACTAATTTAATAAAAAAACTCTTTTTCACTCGTCTCTATTTTGTTAAAAAACTTTCCTTTTTGAAAATTTTCTCACTTTTTCTCTTCTCTTCTTTTGTACAAAATAAAATTCCAAGCAGAATAAGTCTAAAATATGTTGATACTATACATGTTTCTAAAATTTGTAAATTCTTAATGCAATTGACACAATTATTTGATACAATTAATTAAGTCACTATTAAAACATATAAATAATTAAGTTATAACATAATTATTTTTAAGAATTTTGGAAATTGAATCAATAACAAATAATTTATATCACATAATAGCTAACATCACATAAGGCTCTTCTAACTGTTAGGATTTCACATATAAAAGAAATAATTTTACCTAGAAAAATATAAGTAAACCAAAGACTTGCACATAACAACAGTCTGAAACAATAACTAAAAAAAACCTAGACAACAATCTTTTTCTTATAAGGTGTTGTATACAATTAGTAGTTACAAGTTTAAGTATAGTTTTATATCTTTTTTTTTATTTCCTTATTATCTACTTCTTCAAATCCCCCTACTTTTTTTTTTAGGTGGTTTTTTTCTTTTTTTAAAAAATTTTTGCTTCTTAGAATTATAACTACTTATTCTCATTACATTATCTTATCCTATTGTTCTTTAAGCATATTGAAAACAATACTTTTCTATTAAAAATAGTAAACTTTTCTTAGTAGAAACTTATTCTCAAATACTTAAACTAATAGGTTCAAACTTTTTATTACTTTCAATTCAAAAACTATAATCAACTTCTTATTTTCAAAAAATTGACAAAAAATAATTATACCATATTGGTTATCAAGCTACTGATATAAATAGAATTATAGTTATCAATCTTAACTGACATAACAAACTCTATAGCAAGAAGCATATTAACTTATTTAAATTATTTAAAGAAAATTATTGTATAGAACCAATATATAAAGATCACCTTGATTATTTTATAGGAGTTATATCCTGCTTGATATCTGTATCTTTATATTTGGTAACTTAAACCAACCAAGAGCCTATAGAGTGTTCACTAAAGAATTTAGGAGTTGTATTCCACTTGACCTGTAGTCTTTAGATTTAATAGTATATATCAACTATAGAAACAATTTTTAAAGTATTTACTAAGAAATATATAACAATAAATTCATATATACTATAATTATATCAGCTAATAGTAGGATGTAAAAGAGAATCTAATAATGATTAATATGTTATTATGATATGAATTGTCATCAAATATTATAATATAATTATTGAAATCAAATTTAGTAATATAAAAAAAGTTTAAAAGAAAGATATAAAGTTTAGTATATAATCTTTTATTAAAAGACTTTGTGTCCAAGGATTAGGGCTTTTTAAGGATTCCTTTGATAGATAATCTTTTATTAAACTTTTATAAATAATTAGAATATTGCTCAATTAGCTTTAAATATAAATAGTAAAGTGAACTATTTTCTCTGTACTAATTACAATATATTGTTACTTAGTAACTCAATGGCAATTAGCACTGCAAGAACTGACCTCCTTATATAATCATATATGTATAAGCCTGCTAAAATATTTATGTCAATTAATTTATAAAAATATAAGAGAATTTATTAATAAAAATTTATTAAATTAATAAGAAAGATAAATAATAGTTCTTTTGGGATCCCATAGGCCTATTCCAAATTCGAGACCACTCTTTTGGTTTCTTCACAATACCAACTCTTTCGTCAAGGCATATAAAAGGCATTCAGACATACATAAGAATACATCTCTAAAAGAAAGACATTATACGATAGACTCTAGTAACAATCTTATCAAGTGCCATGGTTGTCCCTTAGGTCGACCTTCCAATAACTCTTGTTCATTAATCTTCTCTAGCACCAACGTTTCCTCACTCTGGACAATTAATAAAATCTTATCCAACTTCAAGCATCTCCTGTGCAACA